GAAAAATATGGTGGTAAGGTGAGCTGACAAAAATGCTTGTACCTATGGTATACCCTGGTGCACAGTACTAAGTTATATATTGTCTGACAGCCTTAAAGAAGATCTGTCGAATGGTATCCCAAATGTACTGATGAAACTCAACTAAGCAGTTACTCAAGTTGGCCTTAGTGAACAGACTTCCGAAGACTTTGTTTGTGGTGTACCAACGTGTCGTTGGACTTACTTCAAAAATATAGACGCCGTTGGATAAAGCTCAGTGATCCGAATCGATTGAGCGTACTTCCGAAGACGTGGCACAAGAATGTGAAGGGATACGTCCAATTTAACACAGAGCGCAGGATTGCACGATTAGCACGCACACGCTGAGATACGGCATTTGTCCGGTGCGAATAACGTCGTAGCAGATGCCTTGACCCGGGCGGAAATCAACACCTTATTTGAGCATTCCCCCATTGATCTCCAGGAATTAGCCACAGCACAGCATCAGGACAAGCAATTCCTTCAAATACTGCAAGGAACCAATATACAAGTGAAATTCATTCCGCTGCCTGACAGTTCGGATGTGTGACGTGTCTACAGGGAAGTCACGACCTGTAGTTCCACCGATCTAACGGCAAATCAATTTTTATTCACCATATGGTCTATCACATCCACGTATCCGCGCAACTCCCAAACTCATTTCCGATCGTTTTGTTTGGCCAGCACTAAACAAAGACGTGCAGACAATGGCGAGAAATTGTCTCCTCTGTCAACGTTCAAAAGTGCAGCACCATACACAGGAACCGCTTGGCATTTTCACCGTTCCTGATGCTCGATTCGGTCACGTGCATAACGACACCTTCTGCCCGCTACCGCCGAGTGGACATAGGTACCTACTGACTTGTATCGATCGTTACACTCGCTGGCCCGTGGCAATACCTACCGCGGACATTACTGCAGTGACGGTAGCATATAACTTGGTGGTTCATTGACTCGCACTATCTACCATAACAACTGATCGCGGTGCGCAATTCGAATCGACGCTCTTTCGAGAGTTAACCAATACTCTCGGAAACTAGCGAAGAAGAACAACTGCGTACCACCCAACAGCGAACGAGTTAGTCGAACGTTTCCATCCACACCACAAAACATCTTCGATGGCATGTTCTGACTCTACTCGTTGGACCGAAACTTTACCGCTGGTTCTATTAGGTCTTCGAAGGACACCTAAAGCTGATTGAGGTTGCACTGTCGCGGAGCTGGTATACGGTACCAGGTTAAAGCATCCGGCTGACCTCGTTCAACCAATCGATGCCAACGCTTTAGGTTCTTCAAACTTTGCCCATCGCCTACGTTTATTTATGCGTGAACTACATTTTACCGCCACACGCGCAGAAACTAACAAGGGTTACATACTAAAAGATCTGACAACTTGTTCACACGTGTGGTTACGAAATGATGCGGTCCGTAAACCACTACAGCCACTGTACGAAGAGCCATTTGAAGTGATCTCTAGAGCAGAAAAACACTATAAGATCAACAGGAATTGGAAGGTCGATGTGGTTGCTGCAGACTGTCTTAAACTAGAGTATACCCAACAACCTTGCGAAAAGCAATCAACAGGTCCTCAAACTAAACTACGTACGCAGCAGTTATCAAAGCTCGTTGAAAGTGACCCACAGCTGTCAAAATCTAAAGTTAAGCCACAAGAGGACATTAATAGGCGGCAGACACGGTCAGGAAGGAGAGTCCATTTTCCAGACCGCCCAGTGTATTATGCATCTTGACAGTAGTATCCTATGCTTATCACTTGGCTGTACTGCTTGCTGCCAGTTTGCTTTCGCTTCTTGTTCTCCAGATTCTGCCAGGATGCGAGAGAACAACTTCAGCATAACGAAGAGGAAGAACAGGATTTGCCGCATAATAACAACAAGACTGCCATCACTGCATTTACCATCTTCAGTTTGTTCACAACTTTTTCTTTGTACCTTAAACACAGAACTTTAGCCTGCATGCTACAGCTTCGAGCATTTCTTGCGACACTGTATCAGGTAGGGGTCAGTTTTTACCGGTCATTTCCACCGGATTTTTTGCTCCTCGTCGTTTGAACATCGTGCGGCTAGCGCAATGGTGGGGAGGTAGGTAGGACAACATTTTACATTTTGCCATACAAACATTAGTAAGAGAACATATCTAATCAGCTGACAATTCACCAGGTATATTGACCATCATTTAAAAGCTTCATCCAACATACCATCGATCACCTAATTTTGAACAGCCTATCATCTAAAATGCAACATAAGGCTTCCTTTGTTCTTCCGTGCTTACTTTGTGGGAGCACTACAATACGGCAATTGGAATACATGATTTCACTTCTTTCGGGCACCAGAGAACGACGAGGCAATAATTCCAAAGTCCACACGAGCCATATTCGATAGCGCTTCCAACCAGTTGTGTTCACGGTCCTTGGGCCCCAACCTGGGAGTGGAAGACAGCTCACTGTGGCCAACCGCAATGTCAGTGCATTGACATCCCTGACCCACATTGTGCGTTGACCTCCTTGTCGTCGCTTGCAATTAACGTCGGTGCATTCAAACATAAGCGCGGCGGGGCAACCATTGAGCAGACAAAAGAGGCCGTGCCAGGGCCAGCGAACAGCAAGCAAAGAAGTTACACAGCTCAGCGGTTGGCTGAGTCTGCGTGGCTGGAAAATCTCACGTCGAATTTCGTCATTACTAATACGATGCTGTCAACGTAAACCAGCAATGCTCCGGAGACAGAGTTATGAAAATCAGACAGTTGATGGACATCGCCCGAACGAACGCGTCAGGTCTCGCAGTCATAAATGATCCCCGTTTGTACCACGGGATGGTGAACTTGGCATTTTAGTGAAAGACCGCGAACGCACCGGTGCAAAGGATGTTGGACGTCGGCAACGGCTAATCTGGCTTTGAAGATGAGCAAACTGATGGTATCCATTAAACCACTCAAACTAATGCAACTCTTAAGTAAACGAACTTGTCCTGTACTTCCAAAGAGTTGGAGAAAGTGGGAGTAGGAGCAGCTTCAAACCAGTCTTTCAGGAAGAGATTGCATTTGAAAACGGCACAGGTCACCCTGAACTGTAATATAGACATCTTGTACAACATGTCCTGGGAAGCCTGCGAGGAGTCACAGACGAAGGCGATGCCACAAGCATACTCCGGGTCACGGAGCTGATGACCCGGGAGTAACTCGACGCCAATAGGCCCACAAATTTCCAGACCAAGATCCAAGAGGTCATTCACAACGAACATGAACAACAGTGATGAGTGGCAAACCTGTCTAGTGCCAATGGTGATACGAGGTGGGGATGGAAGTCCGCTGTACAACCGCACTCAGCCAAAGTGCAGATGTCACTTATCTTCTCAACAGACAACTCGGGAGAGAGCAGCATTGTCAACTGGGTTAAACGCAGCACATATGTCCAGGAAGCAAATCATGGTAGACTCGATGATTACCGGAGTATCAGAGGGATCGTAAGGATGTGATCAATACAACCTCGAGCTAGGGGAAACCCAGTCTGCTCATCGCATACTTGACTGAGCTTCCGCAAGAGCAAAGAAGCGAGCGATCTGGGCGCAACGCATCGCCGAACATAACAAACCCGTACAAAAGTACAGCAGCAGTGTTACAAGACCGCGCATATACTACTGACAGGTTGATGTCGTGCTATACCCATTGCTGAGTAAAAGCTTGGAGAGATTAAACGAGCAGACCGACTTGTGCAGCTATCTTTTGGGCGATGTCACCACCACTACCACGCATCTAGGAGAATCAAACGGTTACATCAAGTGACTGCCTGTTGACAAAAAGAGATGTGACGCACCAATAAGAGTGCGTACCAATTAGACAGTCATAATTATATGAGCACCGCCTGTGGCAGCTAGAGGACCCAACAACAGTTTAACTCAGCTTAGTTTACTAAATAAAATGTGCGCACCGAGGTGCGGTGGATCACGTTGTCTTGACTCATGGCGCAAAAAATAATGAAAAGAAATAAGCAAAAAATAAAACAGTCAAATGGAGCAAGTGAAAGTCAGAAATAAGGGCACAAACGCAACAGCACTATTGGCTCCTTGGATGCGAGCCAAATGTAGACACAGACGTGAGCGATCTCGAAGTGACTGCCCATCCAGGAACGCGATAAACACTAACTCGGCCTCACCACTTGGGGAGTCTCTTCATGCTCTTTTGCAGTGCTATTGACCGGTCATCTAGGAGTTCCATCCAACTAAATGCAGTATTGTGAAATAACACACGGTGCGATAGCCAACTTGAGAGCTCGTGGTACGCATGACTGAGTCACAGGAAAAGATTCGAATTTGAATCGCAAACTAGGAGGTCTATGCCACGTGCAAGAAGGGTAAAACGGTTGGTCCGGAAGAAGCATCAAGAATTCAGTTATTAGTGACCACCTTGAGTACTTAACTGAAGAAAGACAAATGTGACGACGATCACAAAGAAAAGTTGCTCGTGGATCCTAAAACCACCATAGTACAGAAATAACCCTTTTAGAGAGACTCATGCGAGGAGCAGTTTAGGATGGAACAGTAGCAAGTAGTTATCTGTGTGAATAGGAGGAGAGGACTGCAGTAATTCAGCGTGACAGAGTTACAAATGAGCAGTTTAACGCGAAAGCCCAATTGCCAAGAACAAACTACATTTCAAACAAGGGCAGTGGGAGCTATATTCTTCAAGTCAGTTGGTTGGCAAGCTGACACGGACATTAGTAGTAAGCCGATACGCAATACTGATGCTTTGCTGCTGCGCAACCACAAACAGTCACACGTGAGCTAAGGATACTGTGAGGGTCGCCCGGCCCCTAAGCAGGCTCAAACTCGCTCCCTCGGATTACCAGGCAGACTTGTGGTGTATAAGGTTACAAGTCAGTAAGCAGACACAAAACCGAAGGGGCACTGTTTAACGCATCTGCTTACGGCATGCATTGGCCGGACTACGCACAACAAGCGGAAACTCACCTGAAGCACAAAATCAATCCGTTTGCATTTGTTTAGCTGGCTACTAAAGGTCATATCACCTTCGGAGAAATATGATCCGACATCCTCGCGATCACCAGGTTGAGAATCCATTTGGGAAAGCTCTTTAGAGAAAGTGTTTGCGGCCCCGTCATCATCTCCTGCAACATCTTGAGAGGGATCGGTCTGGTTTCCACGTATCCTAAGGGGAAAGAATGGTTTTTCCATAAAAAACGTGGTTTCCAATAAAAGGAAGGGTCCTGAAAAATATCGACAACAGGTATGAATGATTTACCGATGAGATCGCGCAAATTCCTGCAGAGTACGCCAGGTAGCTTGGACCGATTGATACAACTTCGCCCTCAGATCCGATCCGACGCGAGCTAGATTGTCGCGCAGTTGCAAATGCAACCGCTTACGACCTTTGTGATGCGGCATGAGAACGGCTCGAGCCTAGTGCAGTGAAAATGAATACAAGGCAAATGCGAACATTAAAGTGGAGGCGATAGGGTGAAGTTTATAACGAGCGGTTTCAGTAGAAGTGCTAAAGAAGCAAGGAGCACTACAAGACCAATGACGAGGGACTTCCGGCGTGGAAGGGTAGGTGATGTAGATACTCAAGTACAGTCACAAATTGTGCCCCTAGGATAGAAAGAAAAGACAACTGAGAAATACGGGTGCAAAGCAGAGAAGGTAGGAAAGAAGGAGGCAAAACTAATCAGGAAAGAAGATTGGCAGATAGGTTCAAAAAACCGACTGTAGGAAGGTCACTGATTGTGCAAGTAGGTCATGTCTGATAGAGACTCCGACTACCGATTCGACCAATCCAGGGGGCATCATCCGCGAAAACGGCACGCATCAGCCGGATGAAGTTTTCCGATCAAGATACTTATACCTATATACCCAAGCATCGATTGACCACCTCGTAGTTTCGCTTAGATAAACGCGACAATAGCAGAAAATGCAGGCGGAGCTAAGCGGTCAAGCAGCACGCCGACGACAAGACCTAACCAACGCAAGCGGTTTGGATTTAGCAAGCTCCCCAGTGAAGTACTAAACACCAATTAGAGGACCACAAAATTTCTTAACCGGTGTTCCCAACTATAGTCATTCCATGATTCATCCGCAGTGGAGATACCTACGCCGAAATAGGTAGATTGTCTTAGGAGACCACTGCACCGAGCCTTTGGCAAAAGGGTCTAACGTAAAAAGCGGCAGGGTGAGATAAAGGTTTCGCACTGTTTGGAGCCGGTGACTGGATACTCAATTCACACGCTTTTCGGATGGCGAAATGCTATACCAGAAGTCAGAGAAAGAATCCGATGCTCGGATTACTTGCCGATATATATGTCTCCGAGGAAGATAAGTGGCACTGACTATATTTAGTGTCCAGTCATATTCAGCACGTCGCAGTGTTGTTAAGCAGGCACTTGGGGCCTTCTATAGGGAGAACCCTTGCCAAGTGAAGCCTACCAAGTTCGGGAACACTGTCGCCGAACCATTCGCCGAAATGGGAAATTCCAGAGCTGCCCAGGTGGCACCACGTGGAAGCTGCTCGGCAAGCCACCCACAAAAGTGATCAATGCTTCACAAAAACCAGAAATCAAGGACGACCAATCTTAATAGCGTCAGCGCGAACTGGCCGTCAGGTCACTGGTATGCACGTTGACATATAACGATAATACACGGAATATTATGGAGTTGAAAAGAAGGCAGATGTACCAACAGAAAGCAGAAAAATCAGTAAAGAAAAAGTATATATAGTCGGACAAGTCAACAAATAATGACAGCGGACTGAGTGCAACAGTGCTATTTGCTCCATCGTTGTGGCGCATCCAATATCAAAAACATAGCATGCAACAAACCGACTTAGCTATTGGATTGGGTGCCTCACACTTCTTCCCCATGTTATAGCCAACCGGTGACCGAGCGATTCAGCAGCCTAGGTGGTACTCCAAAAGCCATTGCTTCAAGCCTGTATATGTGTGGGCGACGTCGCAGTACTCATAGCCAGCACGCGACCGTTTTTGGTCACGTGGTAACGAAGAGTCGCTACAATGTCCCAGTCTACTGTTGATGAATTTTTCTGTCGTCAGACAACTAACTCGAGGTCCCAAGCAGGAATATAGCTGATAGACATCCGAAAAATATGACCTAGAAAGTGTAGATATTTCAAGGTTTGCAGAAAACCAACCACAACACCAGGGGTTTGGTCACCAAACGTCAACAGACGTACATCAGGAATGTGAGTACAATGAGAACACCAGAGGTGAACGATGAAATGCAGCCATATGTGAGCAAAGACTATCAAGCCCATGATGCCTTTAAGACATAATGCAGGAAGACTAAACGATCTGCGATGTCGCACTCCCGGATCTTAAATGCTGGGTCGGAATTGTAACATCCCCACAGGTAGATGAAGTGTTGGAAGGCAAGATAGACTCTAGGGATAAGTGTACTTAACTTCGCGGAGATTAGATCAACAATAAATCAACCAACATGATGAGCAAAACGATCGATCAGTACAAATAGCCGTTCAGCGATGGCAAATGCAGTTAACCCCAGGAACAATGTCTTGCATTTCGGAAGTGCGAAGCGAATACCGTCGTATGTGACGCCGCATGAAGGTCTGTCCAGAAGTGCTTGAGTAGATATTGGGTCCGATTTCAATGGAGATACATTAACGCGTCAGTTGAGTGGAAAATGTACTAATAAAGAAGCAAACAGGAAGCAATCGTGTTATTGCTGCTAGAAGTGAAGCGGCCCCGACTTATTCTACTTATAAAGTGCAAGCAGTTTCTCGTAGACCCTACAAAGCCACGAGCGTCGAAGGAATTCGGGTACAGCATGGAGTTTCCTAGGGAGACGTTTCAAAAGTAAACCTTACCAAAAACGAGTAAGCGACGGAACGTAAGAGGACCTTAAGCCTAGTAGCGTGAGTAAGGTAGAGGGATTGCGTGTAGAGTGCTGTCCCAGTCGCCGGTATAGTGTTAACATATGACCAAACCACCATCTACTTGGAGCGCTCCACTCAGAGTCCTAATGTCAATATGTGTATCCGCAAGCCATGTAGGGAAAGGGTTAAGTCCAGAGTGCCCAAAAAATTGCAGATGATTGGCCGGAGACCGACGGCTAAACGCATCATTAGCACACTTAGGGTATCCAGTGAGTGTGTGTTTCCGTCGGACATGCGACTGACGTAAGAAAAAAGCGGGCTTTGGTGAGTTCCCCCAGTTGGCTGGGGCTGTATGGCTTGAAGGTGGTGGTAGAAAACTGGTAAACAACAGCTGTGATTTCACACCGCCCCAGATAAATTATGGTGTCTGTGCGTTACATGCTTGTGTGCAAAGTAACCAACACCTCACCTTGACAATCGAAAGCCCAGTTAAATTGTTTAATAGATAAACATAGGTAAACAAATGGTATATTTTTTGGCGATGTGAGACGCAGATCAACTACGTAGTCTGAGCATTGTGTACAAGATAATATGATGTTGCAAGATAGTTCGCATAGTTTTTGCGGTGTTCTATTAATTAAAAGTAATAAAATGCGGAAAGGAGAGAGTAGGAATAAATCTAGTTACAGCCAGCATCAATACGTCCATCTGTGGAATCGTCTGCTCGTGACCTGCTTCCATGCGGCGCAGTCCCTCGAAAAGTTTAATCCGCACTTCAACACGCCTTATCTGGCCATGTGCTGATGTGACTGGAAAGCAAGTACGCCGTCATCAGGTTGACTCGTTTTTTGACTTCTATTACGAGCAATAGACCGTCGTCATGAAGACTTTTTATGGCGGCTGTTATAGGTAAAGGAGATCGTCACTGTGCCAATATTGTTAACTCGTCTTTAGAGCCGCTGGAGGGATAGGCCTTCCAGTCTTTCATCCGGTTCAAACATCCGACTAATTTGAGTCCAGAACACAGTTACTTCCACTATGAGAATCAGAACGGGGGACAAACCGACCGTTCCGCACCTCGCATCAGTGAGGAACTTATGATCGACACATTAACGATGAGTAGACCCTTGGGGCTACGTCTGTTGCGCAGGACACTTCCACGGGGACACCAAGGAGGCCCGTATCGTAACACCACTCAGCATTCTATTGTGGCGAGAGGCGAAACGTACCGATCCACCAGCGCTCTGTAAACGAATGCTATACCAGCGTGAGAACAAAAGCTAGCTCGATGAGACGGGGAAACCGTTTAGCAGAATGACGTGCGTGGGAAAGAGGACAGTTTAAACGCTACGATCAACGTGAGATGGCCCGACCAGAGAGGTTCGATGGGATACAAGGCCAAGGAGGTGGACGCTAAACCCGCTACTGGACCTCTCTGCAATGTTCAATAACACAAATAGCGATTGTTCATTTGTTCTCCGAGCTTGGCGGTTTTCTCGCAAACGTTTCACCACCATGCGAGGTGGCATCCTCAGTGCAGTGATATGTAGCGTACAAGCGTAGCGTACAAGTTACGGCAAATTTCCTGATGAATCGTGTGCCATGCGCCTTCGTTTAGCAACACTGATTTTATCCGGCAAGTTTGACTCTAACCATCCTTCGGGACCTGTCAGGCAATTCCTTTTATAACCGTCATAAACCACTGCTACAATGATAGTACCGACGAGTTGGCTTATTCGGCGAGCGTTGTATTGGGACAGTGAACAAGGTTACGGGCATTTATATGGGCCTAAGAAGCAACAAGGCTTAGGAAGGTCGCTGGAAAAGTTTATAGAGCAAGCTATCAGCTGATCATGTGGTGGAGCTGTATGCTATCGGGAACACCTACATGTCGCGGATCGGGAAAAAGCTATTATGTGGGGGCAAAAGCGAATAATTGTTTGCTTTGCAGGCGAGATGAATAAGCGATTGCGCACAGTCAGTGGCAGCGTTTCAGGGCATGAAGAGTTCTGAGCTGGTCACATGATTCCCAGGTAAATAGCACAATCGATCGTAAGGCACGGTGTCGAAACCCATGAGACGGCTATAGGATCAAGGACCGCTTACTTCTGCAATGAGCAGAGAGTACGTGATGGACGAACGACATCGAGGAAACCGGCTTCTTTGTGAACTGTCATACAGACATTAAGAAGGAGTATGCATCATCTGGTTGTCAACGGACTTAATACATAGCAGTGCATTCGGTGGTTCAGGAAACGGGTCCTGCCCTGTGTACTGCTTTTACACGGGATGTTTGGGTGACCTGAGCCGCTTGTCACTAATCGAAGTGACGTTGTCCACAATTTGGTTACCGGCTCCAAACGATTCGCGATACATATAAATCCCATCGTTGCCATGTGGGCAAGGTTGTTAGGACCCAAAGTTCTAGATGAGGTCCTTTGAGCCAACCCTCTTCATCGGGTTAGGTAACCGGGTACTTTTGCAACCGCACAAAACACATGGACAGGAAAAAGCAGGCGATCATTGCGCAGTGGTTGTTCGCTGACTTATGAATCACACGCTCGGAACCGAGCGTATGCAATTGTAAACGAAGGGTGCCAGTCCTTGGAACGTTTCGATAGGGAGCAGTTGACGGGAAATAAAGAGATAGGTTGAGCCATATAAGGTAAATAATTGTGGAGAAAATAGGTAGCGGCATTGACAGGTTGACAGTGCAAGGTGCGTTGGAGAGTAAGAGAAGAGTTAGAGTTGCCGAGATGAAGGCTTTTCAGATGCAAATCACAAAAAGCGTTCTAAGCTAGACTTGTGTATGGGTGCATGTGTCATCTGGCGCCCAATACCAACCGGAACGTGAAATTGAGAAAATGTTCGTCCCGTAAAGGTATTGTGATGAAGCTGCGGTCAACGTATACGAGTACAGGTTGTGTGGATAGTTGGATCGATTTGACACGGTGGTTTGGTACAAGTGAGTCACAACGAACCCCGTGTGTCTCCTGTTCAACCTACCATAGCGTAAAAGACAAGAAGACCATTCGCTAGTGTAGTAGGGACATTCGACACCAAGCCATATGCAATAATAACGGAAGGTATCAACATCACACCAGTAAGTAGGACTGGTCATACGCCGGCTGAAATGCTACAATGATGCTCAAACCCGAAAGGAGTGGAAACTCAAACCAGGACGTAAATATCGCAAGCCAAGACTTACCCACTATGTCACAGATGCAGATAATAGTACTGATGACGTGGTTCTCGATAATACGAGTCGGACGGATGATCCTGGCATTCAGCTCATACTTTGCCAATCACTGGTCCGAACCCGCCCATGTCTTGATGTTAGGTGACCGCAACCGACGAACGTCCGGACACGGTTTCAAAATGCAAACGGGGCCCACGGCAGGAATGCGCGGGCAAATGACAAAAGCAGTTCGTCGGCGGCGGCACGGGTTACTATGTGACACACGGAGCGAGACTGCGATTGGTCAAGTTTGCCAGCAGCAAAATACTGAAGACCACGAGTACGCGTGGAAATAAGCAGACAGGTGCTAGTCAATCAGTCAAGCAACGTACAGTTGGATCGGAAGGCAGAGACGAAGTGGTGTGTGACCTATAAATATAGACATTCGCTGTCCTCAATACACTCCAGTTTTGTCTTCTGTCTCTCCCGGCTGGGTTGGGCGGAGCACCAGGAAGAGAGCAGACCCATAGCAGCGTTACAACAGTGGATGAGCTTGCAAAATCCCAGTGTGAATGCAAGCGCTGATGGCCACTTGGTCGCGAAGGATTGCTGCAAGGTTTCAGTTTGTTATCAGTACTTCCATGTTACGAAAAAAGGAGTTGCTATTCCAGTCAAGCGAACAGTCACCATAAAGCAAACTAGCATATCAAAGCACTAACAAATATGAGGAGCAGAGGACGAAAATCTCACCTGAAATGTCGGCTCAATCAGAGTCTCCATCCGATAGGCCACCGGATCAAAAGGATGAAAGATGTTGAACACCAAAGGGCATGACGGTAGATGATAATGAGAAGGCAACTGGCGAACGCCTCTGGCCGTCAGGAATAGGGCCAATGGTGAACCAAGCATGAAAAAAGTAGTGAGCGGGAATCCCAGTTGAGGGTAGACAACTACGGGCATTCCGAAGCCCGCAGACATGGTCTCTTGTTGGTGGTCCAGCCAGAATGGATTATGCACAAGCGTTGAAGCATCAGTTGACCGATCAGGGGGAACGACCGACAGTACCCCATCGCCGAACCATGAATCCACTACTTGACTGATTTTGTTTTCCGCCAGTCCGGCGCGGGATAACAGATCAATCAGCTTGGTAATTTCTGGGTTTGTGGCAGCTCCAGAACTCTGGAGGCTATCCGAAGAGGACTTGGTAACTACGGTGGTTTCTGATTCGGGAGGCTTGTGTTTCGCACGATGGCCCACAAGTGACCAACCTTCCATCTCGCCTGCAGCGCCCAAACTGCTGCTGCTTCGTCCACTCTCATCGCTGATGGAAGAGTCTGGAGGGCGGGTCGTGTGCTCGACATCTAAACGTGTCCCATTTGTGTCTGCAGATTCGGGAATTGTAAGCTCGTCTGATGAACTACGCAGAGGCAAATTCTGGTGGGCCAATAGATCAAAAACGATAACTGCACCCAAGCTGTGACCGATGATCGAGAAACCGCCCTGGAAGAAGGAAGAAAAGTATAGCAGGTAAACAACACTACACATAGAACCAGAGAGAATGGAAGTAGAGGGAGCTGTGTGATGCAGTAGGCTCAAGATAGGAGCCATGACCATAACAGATGTCCGCAACGCATCGGAGGCAACTGGCCTTCAGAAGGGAGTAAAAACTGTTATATTTTAAGACAAACCCCCAAGTAACATGTATCAGTGAAAAATATGTGACATTCAGTGAGCGGAAATAGGAGAATCGGCACCAACCTGGAGGATGCAATGAGAAGTTGGTGATCAGTAATAAAAGACATTTGAAGTGTACGACAAATGCACCTTGGCTGGGAAAAACAACTCAAATGAGTTAGAGCGCAACTTATATCAAACGTGTGCGATCAAATTACATCCAAGACGCACAGTTCGTCAATGTCATTAAGCTGTCCAAAAAGTCTAACCAAAATTAGCACGTTTAGCCGAGGTGGTCTCATAAACATCCCAAACGGGTTATCCCAACATACTCAGGGTTGTCACAGGACTGGATGTTGATTGAGGAAATGCAGACCGATTAACTGTAGGTGAACCGGATACGTCTCGGGCCGGTATGGAGGCTGGCGCGTTCGCAAGCACTAGGTGGTAATAAACACCAACAAGTATTTTAGAGAAGTTACGATACCATATTCGCTGAAAGCGATTTGACCTCAAAAAACGTTTGCTACGGAGGATTAGGACCAAATATCGACACCCATTGATGTTGCTTCCTTCTCATAATGAGACCTCACGTTGACCACAGGCCGCTGGTTAGATACAAGGGTATTTTGGTTGCACAGTAAGCCTCTCCCTTTGTTGTTTTTACTCAGTTCCCGTTAACTAAGTTACCAGTGTACAAAGACGAAACAGCAATACAATGTATCACTGCAATGCTGCAAAGAGGACAACGGTAACAGGAAAACATACTGAAATGCTTTTTGGACGTCGGCCTTGAACGACGATTGTAATTTGAGGTCCTTGTCGTTAAGAGTAACACTCGTCTACATAAAGTTGGAACAGTTTTCCATCAAACAGGAGCTAAGCAGCACAGGTGGCGAGTCTACTTGTCACGACTAGCATCACCACGATATTAAAAGAAGGCAAAAGTGAGAAAAAAAAGTAAGAATATTTAGTGGTGTAAATCATAGGAAAAGAAGGCCAGAAGGAGGAATGGATGAAGTAACTGCCACTCGAAATAGTTGGCACCAGAAAGTGGATGTTAACGAGGACACCACCAAATTTGTGAAAGAGCTGGGCGATTACTGATGTGTAGCTGTCTTCAGTGATCAAAAGGCGCGTAGAATCTGATCGAATGACTTTCAAATGTTCGCTTGTCTAAATTCGTTGTGTCGCAAAAGACAGAGTATGAGAGAGTAACCCTCATCCAATGACTCGGCTCAGTACCAGAGAGTACAGGATAGATTAGATTTCTTTTAATGAACAACCCACAAACATATAGAAGGAGAAACATCGATATCCCAATAATAGGGACTTCAGGCTAACAAAATTTTTTTATGTAAAGCAACATTAGGACGATCAGTAAGTAACAAATAAGGCATTGAATGACTGCTTTTCTCCTCCGGAATGACACAACATCAATCGGTAGTCAGACAAGAGCAACGAAAATCGACTTTGAGTTAAGAGAAAGAGGCTGTGATTTCAGGACTTCTGGGGGGGGGGGGAAGGTGATGTAACCACGACCCCATTCGAAGATAAGTAGCAATGACATAGACGACATATCCACGTCAATAGGTAGGTTGAGATTATATGAAGGGTAGAGTTGGTTTCCGAACTGCGTCCTTGACTAGCTAAATATCATGAGAAATGCTAATGGGGGATTCCGAAAAGACACTGGCAAATCATCCGGACGTCCAAAGAAGCTTTCCAAACACCGGATGAATAACTAAACGGACAACCCAAAGCGTCCGATAAAGTTCAATTATGTGGTGGGGCAAATTTTGTTAACCTGTTGGAGATGCGCGACTAGGAGTGCTCAGATCGGACAGTAGTTACCATTCTCGTAGGATAGGAAAGAAGAAAAAGGCATAGCGGTACGCCGGGACGTCGTACCGACGCTTCGCTGCTACACGACTGCAGGTTAGGGGCACTGCGAGGTCGCCCGTAGCTACAAAGATTCGAACCGATGAACACCGGTTTACAAGACACACAGCTTATCCTTTCGATCACCGGCAGAGGAAGATACTAATAATCATTAATAATAATAATAGGTATATATCTCTTTAGTGAGAAGTTGCGTCCCCATTTGGCACAGCTCATGTATGTACAGGTAGTACCATGCTCTTGCATGAGCGGTATGTAGTTGTGGCGAATAAAAAATAAATAAATAAATAAAGTTTTATTCTCGACAAGGCGAGGCACGCCTTTACAGGCATGATCATTATGACAACAATGCGTGGTCTAGAATGTGCAAGAATACGTTATGTTTGCCGTACCAGTGTATGTTTATGTAGGGGGTATGTAACTATGTAACTGTGTGTGTGTGTGTCACTGTGAGGTTCCTGTTTGTAGCTGTGCTGCTCTAACTTTGACTCTCATATCGTCGGCAATGCTCGAGTAGAAGATGGATGTCCGTGCGTTGGAAAGGATTATTCGGATACCCACGGGGCAGTGACTTTATTTTGTGGCGAGTCACGACCGCCACGTCACAGTGTTGTTAAGCAGACATTTGTGGCTTTTTATAGGGAGAACGCTTGCCAGGCGAAAACCCACCACGTCCTGGAACACTGCCGCCGAACTATTTGCTGGAACGGGTCAAACCCGAACCACCCAGCTGGCACCATGAGGAGGTTGTTCGGCTAGCCAGCACGACATACTTCTCATCGGTGCGAAGTACAGTCCAACTGGATGTTACGATTCTTGATATATGGAGGAATCGCAGAGCAGATTTTTATTTTACAAATTTTCCAAAGTGGTTCATACACTACATTTTGGCTAACAGCTAATTGATCAGTTGAATCTTTCGGAAAGATTGGGAGGTTGTCAAAAGTAATAAGTGTAGATAAATGCAAATGTATAATAGAATACGGTCATCCATGGAACTGTCTCCTGGGGACCCGCTTCCGTGCAGGTTGTTCTCTCGATGGGTTTCGCCCGCAATTCCATACCCCATTTGGCCGAGTGCTAGTGTGGCTTTTAAAGCAGATAAGCCATCACCTATGTAACTCATCCTTAGCGCTATTTTTCTGTGTAGGTAGTGTGGACAGTCAAGCCATATAGTCTGGACGTAACCTTACTGTTATATTCCAGAGGCTCATTATGCACTAGCGGAAGTCCAGTCCAGAAGCCAACATACAAGCATAGACAACGCGGACGCCATAGATTCCTTTGTGTTTGAACCTAACAGTACAAACGCTCTCGGATAGACTGGTGAAGAGCATTGCACGAGTTGACATGTCTTACGCAATGTATTGCTGCAGAACTGGGTAGATACACCATCGGTTTCTACAATCACTGAATAGCCACTGGAAATGGTCGGATGGTTCACCTATCTTGATAGTTGTACTATTGCTGGTGATTACATCACTGTGGAGGCTAACCCATGCATCGACAAACCTCGCGTGGCTTTGCTAAGTTTCAGACATCTGTAGTGACAGAGGGACACCAGATTTTTGGACAGACAGGGTGCAGGCAGTGCCGTTGTTTAGATGAGAATGGAGTGTATGCTGAAGACATTTGGGGACTGGTTGTGGCCGTTCAACCGTGCTTGCGGAGTAATGCCCGCATTTGACGGGATCCCCGGGTGAACGCCATTGTAGTCCACTAGATGCTATGTTATAAAAGACTATCTGGTGTCACACTGGAGTGCCCATTAACCTAAGCTGCTTAAATCTATTGGGTTATGTTCTTTGTATACCCTTTGGCCGCTTATGATGACTTTTGTTGTCGCTGCACCAAGCTGGGCGAAACCGCAAGTTGATTAACCGATGCCACTGCAGTAGGGTGCGAGGAAATCGACTTACAATTGGTTCGGCTAATACATACCGTCTTTCTAGATGGGAGCGTCAAGAAATTGAAACCAAAATGTCTCAGGCGCAATGCCGACGGCACTTCCATGATCGACCCCTTGCAAAAACGTGTTGTTTATCTATACCACCCCCATTCCGAACCCTTATTCTACGTATTTCAATCTATTGTCCCATATTTCCACTGCCAGTTAATTTTAATTAACCTGGCGACGTGAGTGATGGCAACTGAATCCGCCACACTTCAGCACTCGGATAGTAGCCCAGTTTCAGTGAACTAGACGGAGAAGTAATAGGAACAAGAGAAAACAGTTAATGATGGTTGCGGTGAAAATGACCAGAGTTAGTTAGCCAGTCCGAGTAAACAATTCTAGGATTTGTAACAGTCCGATAAGAAATGCGTGTCTAGATCTGTAAGAAGAGCAGTGTTTACTAACGAAGTTGTTTATCAGTGCGCACTGAAGATGTTATCTCCGCAGGTAAAGAAATATCACCAAATGAACTGCTCAGCTCAGCGGACAAATAAACACCCAAATACCTAGTAGTAATAGTAGTGATAGTAGCAACAGTTTAAGAGACAGACATGGAGCCACACAAAAACTATGGAAATTACAGGTTTAATCACCACATCATTAACATGGCACATAAGCTGAAGGCGGGCAACACACTTCAGCTACCGCGCCGCGAAAACGGAACTTTCTTGTCAGTTTTCCACACGCCATTTTTTCCATTCTTCGCCTTATCTAATCGTTAAACGTCAAGCATTTAAATCTAAACACAGGTACACAGATCATCCACTGGTTTGAATTGCGCGCCAGATAGTGAACTGTTTCCAGCCATCGGCACTCTTCGTCCTTTGGTCCCCAGCCAGGCAGATGTGTGGATCTAATGGTGGCAAGACGTGAAGTCAATGAGAACATTGTCGGCAGGTGGAAGACTGACATCCACGTGGTCTCTTCCAACCAAGTCCTGCACGAGCGAAAAGGGCGCAGTGGGGCAAACGTTCAGCTGACATGCACAGGACTTGACCGATCCATCTTAACTGCGCAGCCAAATAAGCTTGTTGAAGCGAATACCCGCATTCCCTAAGACACGACATATGACTTCGCTGTCGTAGATGCGTTGTTGCCACCACACATCAGCAATCCTTCTCAAGCACCCATTGTCTAAGGCCGAGAGCCGGTACATGTCAACTACGCGAACTGGCCACGACGCGCTTCCATAAGGAAACACCGCTCGAATGGTGGCACTGTAAAGGCGACGCTTTACCAACAGTGAGACATGCCGACGACGCCACAAGTGCTTCAAGTTGACGAAGGCTGACGGAGCTTTGGCGATACGGAGGGATACTTCTTTCTGAATTGTGCCACCAGCAGACATGCAGCTGCCTAAGTAGACAGCTATCCACTTGTTCAAGTTGTGTACCTTCAATAGTGAGCACGTGAACAGGAGAGTGCCAACCCTGGAGCAGCACATTACACTATGACGGGGAGAAACACAGACCGAACTTAGATGCCAAAATCGCCAAACGGTGTAGAATGCTTTGCATGCTCTGTGAGTCGTCATCAAGTAAGGTGATATCATCGATATAATCTAAGTCAGTCGCTCGTTTGCCCACTAAGTAGCTGCAGACCAAAATGTTGGTAACCTTACAGAGCTCTCGACAAGACGTTTTCAATCACAAAATTGAAGAGGAACGGGGACATAGGACATCCCTGTCGTACACCGCTGCTGACAGCGAAGGAAGACACGATTCTGCCAAAGATGTGGAAATAGAGTGTACGAAGGATGGCGGTGTACTTTTCTGAGACCGCGTTATGTAGAAAACAATGCCATAGCGCAAGTCGATCAGCCGAGTAGAATTCAGCCCTGATGTCTAGGAATGCAACAATGATGGGCCTCTGGTAAAGATCGCGGTGTTCCAGGATTCGGCGGAGCGTGAATAGCTGATGCACACACTCGCGGCCAGGTCGGAAGCCAGCTTGTTCATCCCGGCACTGCGATTCACGAATGGGAGATAGTCTACGAAGCAGAATGGATGTCAAGTGCTTGGAAGTAACCGAAACGAGACTATTCCGCTGGTGTATTGTGCAAGAAAAATCGGAACAATAACCGATTCACCCAAACACATCGTCATGTATGACATGACTAGAAAGTTGCAGTGCGACATACGCTAAAGCACTGCATCATAATTCACAGCCACATATGTGGGAAAGGCAGAATTGTTGTGGAGGATATCCAGTGCTCACTCACCGAAATGGTACGAGGGCGCTCATCAAAGCTTAACTAAGAAGAAGAATATCACCATCTTCAAAATGGTCGAGTCTGGTTGCAACGACTGAAGAATAATTTCATTGTTCTCTACAATATCATGCATTCGCGGGTTTTTACAACCAGCACGGACCTCATTTTACAAAATGGCCCAACATATCCCACTGGTAATATAAGGCACCTCTTATCATTACATAAGTCCAAGTATAACAACCGTTTAAACCTCTTCTAAATGTAGTACGCTGATCTATGGAATAAGCTACCAATGCAACTAAGGGTGGGCAAGAAATTAGCTACATTTAGAACGCATCTATACACTTTTCTTTCCACACCAATTTTGTGAACAAAAGTTTCGTCCTTCAACAACCGAAGAGTGCATTCATGGAATTCAACCGCGCCGACATATGATACGACTAACCTTGTAAGAAGTTCGTTGCTACCCATTCCATAAAACTTGGGCACTATCGATTCATATCGATCTAAAAGTTCCGCAACGAAGTGCTGGTGAATATCGCGGTGCATAAACTTAGACCTCATAGTCAAACGTACTGAGTAACCGATTGACTGGAAGAATGCTAATGCACTGGGTCTGCGAACTGAACATGTTATGGAAATCGCTCAGATTCGCGATACATAACCCATTACAAATGTGCATTCCGCAAATACGATAGTAGCCCGACTGTCGTGGAGTATAAGCATCTGCTTACTTTTTTATATAAAGAATGCTCTGGAAATACAGATGGAGAAATGGGATATATGGCATTTGACTTACAGAATAGTTTGGATTTCTGGAGAGGAACAAATTACGTAGCCTGCACATCTCTTTGGCGACTGTATCCACAATGACTTGGCAATATCTTGAGCTCGTGTAAAACAGAATGTCCATTAAGGTTCCGTTGGTGAACTGCCGTAGCTTCGGGATGCTTCGTAAGGTGATTTGATTCAACTGACTGTCCACACCAGTCGCATCCGAATGTAGCTCATCGTGCCACAGAATTGGAAGAAATTCCACCCGATGTCCATGGTGGGCGAAGTGACTGCGTGCCACCTGACGTGCAGTCCGTCTGAAATGTGTGGGAGAAAAGCATGTGATGTTTCTCAAGCGGCGCTTAATTTACAAGTAAATATGGCGGTTATTAATGAGTAGATGGTTCGATGTCATCCTACTGAGTTCATTGCAGTAGCCTAGGTCGGACAGTCCAAGGTCAGTGAAAGCACTAGAGGGCAGTTTCGCCCTATCAGGATGCGTCAGCAGTGAGAACCCCTCAGCTATGTCAGGAACTAACACAAGTGGCATAAGCCACTTGTAGTAGTTCCGGGGGTATGTGTAAGACTAGCTGGCTTGGAAGTTACTGTGATGAAAAATTAAAAGAATTACAACAAACCCCCCGACGTAGGGATAATCAAAAACATCTGCCGCCAAAACATCTAGATGCCTATTCGTGCATAATCGCGGTTGTGGAAATCCGTGATTCTGTCCTCCGCAACATCTGTACCTTGCGTGGCAAAGGTGGATGAGTAGCGTGATATCGCAGTCTGCTTAGAAGCCATGACGACACGCAGCTGGCACTCAGGAATAGGTGACGTAGATAAATGGTATCGAGAGGTCATGGGTTCAGTTCCTGAGAGAGCCAAGGGATGCACACTCCTGGCTAGTTCGGATAAGATGAAACAGTGTCCAAGTGAATTTAGGTCTATAAAACTGCATGATCTGAAGGCAATTGCGATAAGAAATCAAAATAAAATAAAGCGACATTTAGTAATACACACTATCGGAATGCACAAGAAGACCGCGCAGTGGGAAATGATAACACCTAGTTCGACAAGAGTAAAAAGGAGTGCCTCAGAAGAAAGAGTAGGTGTGACATCCGGTCCATCAAGAACATGTGTCCGAATTTCGGGCATTATTCCAAAAATGCTGTCGAAAGAACGATGGAGTAAAAACGTAAATGGTCTTGGTGATAATCCAAGGGAGAAAATGTGTTTATCCCATAAGAGGAATATGCACTGGACACCGTAAGTTTTCCGATGTGAATATCAACAATAGAATTCATACGCCAAGTAACCTATAACGTCCGCAGCCACTGCTCGGCCTACTGTGTGAGAATGGGGTCCACGCAAATGTGTGCAATTTGCTTAGTGATTATTATCCAGATCACAATCAATTGACTCTACTAAACGGTAAAAAGCCCCCTATTGCCAGTACCGACTATGGTGTTTGGCAGCTATCAATCTTCACCAGTTTACTACATTCACTATATGCCGGACGGCTTATTTACAACCCAAAAACATTGGACGGAAACTTATCAATGTTGTCCCAAAGATTAGGGTCCCAAATATTGTGAAGTCTCCAAAATGCATTAGATGTGAAAGTAAGATGGCCCCATCTAGGTCCCTTCCTCCCAACGCTTATAAACGTTTTGGTGTAATATCCCGTTGTGTATCGTCATCATCATCCAGGTTAGCTAGAAGTGAGGACACCTCAGCCATTGTACCGCTATAAACAAGAGGGAAAAAATAAAGAGACGCAACATAGGCGCGTCAGTTGAGCCACCAGTAACGAATGGACATTGTTTCGGGGAGCTAGCAGCCAGGTGTTGTGCAGGTTGTTGTGCTAGGAAATGAGAACGTGATTGGAGTGGCAGGCCAAGCGGGATGGGACGGGACAAAGAAACACAACACAAACGCCACTGAGGTCGGCTCCTAGCTATGTCAACAAGTGTATGTAGCCAAGTAGGTTCATGAACTTTTAGGCCCAAACCAGAGAGCCCATAGACTCTAACCGAGGTCAACTGCGAAATAACGCTCTTCATTTAGTTTGACCAGGTCGTCGGATGGCCTTCCTTCCTCTTTTGTCATCCACACCCCCGGTGCACAAACAACGCAAGACACCGGAATCGGTGTGCAGGCATACGATGATAAGTAGCGGATTGTGGAGTATATCTCTCCACTGGCTGTGACCGACGAACCCATACCTAGCACATCATCGGTATCTTTCGTCTCAGAGTCTCACCTAGTCCCCACGTGTCGGGAAACGTTTCAGTAAATCAGCAAGCCAGTTTTACCCTATCAAAATTGAGATAGCATTAGTGTCCAATGGAGCAGTATTTGGGCTAATGACTGCGCGTGAATTCCCTACACCATTGATGATGCTATCGCGCATCATTATCCATGGTATCTTGAAAAGGACTACGCTCTGATTATGTGGTCGATAAAACATATCTATAAATGAACGTGGTTACGCGAATATTATCTTCCAATCCAGTATTAATGGACAGGTTAACGCATACATTCATTTTCCGAACAGCTTCCTTAAATCACCCTCACCAACTACGTAATGACGTACGGAAAATACAGGTATTTCAACGCGCTAAAAACATATGTATATCAACTACTAGCATTTTGTCGTATAACAATAACGTTCAACTGATTCTATCACGTTAGGCTGTCGACTCGAAGGTCAACAGCAGGACAGCTGACTTATTATTGGAGTGGCAATAGTGCAACCCTTCCGTTTTGCTTTTCATCCATATATATATATATATATATATATATATATATATATATATATATATATATATATGGAGCGATTGTGCAGCAGTCTGAACTGCCATGTGAACAGGCAATAAGGCAACCGATCATATGCGACCAAGTTGAGCGTTTGTCGGAACGCGGAATATAGGTGAGATGGCGCACTTTGCCAAATGTGTGCTCGCCCGCTTACAAATGCTGTCTCGCCCATGGGCAACCAAAATGCACGTTCAGTAGTGTGTTTCCGATTTTAGAAATGGACGAAACGAGAACACAACTTGGACAAATTGCGAACTTTTGTGGTTAAACGGACGCGTTGCCAGCGATGATTAATGGAGCTGAGTTCCTGGAAAATGTGGTAGTGGGAGCAAAAAGTGTTCACCAGAGGAGAGGCATCTGAAGCACGCCGGTGCGCTATACCGACGCTTCGCTGCCACGCATCCACCACCAGTCGCGCGTGGACCAAGGATACTACGAGTGTCGCCTGGCTCCTTACGCAGGCTGGAACAGGTGACGTCCGGGTTGCAAGGCAGACGCCTTGCCCTTTCAGCCACCGGCCGAGCAAACCAGAGGAGAACGAACACATACACGTCGCAAAATTTAGGAATGAGCGACAAATGCAAGCCGTGCAAATCGGGTAGAATAAAGAATCGATTACCTGAGATTGTTGACACATTCGATCAAACCCTGTCCCTTGAGATTGTAAACGCTTCCGATCCCGTGCACAACGAAGTATACATGATCAATGGGAAGAAATTCTCCGTCTTCCAGCTGTTCCATCAACGGTGCGTCTAATCCGCGACGAACGTGGTATAAGCGACCGTCATGCTCGGAAACGGAGATGCTGGGATGTACCTTCGAATAAGAATCAGTATCGTCTGCTGAAGCTAGTGTCTCCGATGCATCCGAGCGCTCGGTGATAGAGCCGTAGGAGTACGGCCACGCACGAAACTGGATAATAGACTGTGATAAAATAAAGGGGGGAAAAGTGGAGAAGAGAAAGGCGCAAAAACGTACGTTGGTAAGATAAGTGGCGCAAAGAGGTACGGTGCGACAAAGGGAAAATGACAGAAATAGGGGTAGAACTAGGTGACTCAACACAGGTATGAGAGCGGTTCGACCCAAGCTGGCCGCTCCTCATCTGCAGCTTCCAAAGAAGAGGAAATCGTCAAACAAAGACAATCACATGAGCGTGAAAACACCACTGAAGTGGGGAGTCGTAGATGATTCCACTGCGGATCCGCGTATTACACCGTAATATCAGAAAGAATACATACCGAAACAGGTGTTAAAAGACGATGTGATTCAGGTAGTAGCGCATAAACATAAAATCCTTCCCAAACTCTTTTTCCATTTTTCCTCCTCAAGATCGCTATCGCCAACACCATCATCAACTGCAGTATGTCAGTTAGTTGTACTAATGCATTGCCGTTTTTGCCTCCTTCATGTTCACAGGCCTGTCGGTCCATCAGGCTCCCATGCCAGCAAGAAGGCTCTGTTTTAGCTCGTGCTGTAGTCCGTTTGGTTACATTATTGTAGGGATTGTTGTTCTCGATTCCAGTAAGCCTACTATTCTCTCGGATATCATGCGACTAATACGATGGATGAAACCGCCGCAAGTAGAGAGCCCCGTGGTCGAGATACTGTCGCACAGATGTCTGCTGTCAATAACATTAGAAGGCGAACCCTTGCAATGCAGAGCATTCCGATGGGTTTGCATAACTAAGGGTTCAGATACACAGAGTTGGTTGTTGGGAATAGAGTACCCGGCCTGCGTCTGGATTGCAACACGCAATCTAACTTTGGCCCACGATTTGGTTTTAGGCAAACCTCTGCCAATTTGATCACAGGACCGCATCTTAAGTGTAATTTCGGAGTCGCTCTTACCAATCACTGCACTCCACCAACGGTTTTGTCCTGATTTGGACTATTCAGCTAAATAGCTTGAGCTTGGAGTGGAACCTGACACATAGTGGCTGACCGCTTACGCCTTAGTCACTAAGCCAAAGCTACACGAACAGCACTTGACACAGCGGTTAGAAGTTTGTTGTTGGGTCTTACATTGCCCACTGTGTGTCTGGATTGTGACATGCAATCTTACTTGAGGCCACGCTTTACTTTGGAGCAAACCTCTGCCATATCGACCACTAGAACTGCGTCCGAAGTAGAGAGTCTCGGAGCTGCTTACGTTGACTTGCTCTCTGCATGCCTATCGATCGTCTTCCTTGACCACCAGTATATACCGTCGCTAAGCTTAGCTGGGTGAAACCGTGAGAATGCTATACAACGTGGAGAAAAAAACACGAAGAAATTGACCGAGGGACTTGGTCACGATGGTATGTCTCGTACCCATGGATGCGCCACATCAGTGGTCGAAAACCTCATCGGACATGTCGCATTTGTGGACCCAGTGATGACCATGAATTTGATTTCTTGTATCGAGCAGTAACTATCTCAGCCCGATTAATTGTATCCCCTACTTCCTAACCTCTTTCCTGATTGGTCTACAATCCACCTCGATCTTCTCAGCATTGTTGACCATCGTTACGATGGTCAAGCGAGTAGCGACGATCGGATCGACCGTACTCAGACACCTGGATCATGGATGCGTAACCGAGTTAAACTGAAGGTCACATTATAAGTAGTATGGACAATAGCAGTAGGTCAACGCATGGTGCGCCGCTGTTGTCGCGCAACCGCAGAGATGGCTCTACTAATGAGTGATAATGGGAGATGAACAGGGGAACAAAGATCCAAATAAGAAACAAAATCAAGATACATCACAAATACCGTGCGTGTACAGATAGTCGGTCATTGCACTGGTGAGGTAGACATTAAGATCTCATGTCCAAATCAGACTTGTTCCACAGGAAACTCGTACTAATTATATACGTCACAGAGTATCGGCGAGTGCGTGAAATGCGTTGGCGTTTAGCCTTTGACAACGGGTGATTGCGGAGGATAGTTCGTGTGTGATGGGACCACTAGGTTTACAACGACCACGTTGAAAGTCGCACCTAAGGTAATAGGGGTCCAGTCATCGAAAGCCGGCACGCTGACTGAGCTGCATTTATCACATCCAACACATACCGTGCGAGCAGGTAACACGCCGCACTTTACTCGCTTGCACAGGACCGCGATGGAAGAAGTCGCGCGATCTGTATACCACATGGCGCTTAGACATAAAGGCGCTGACCTCTAGTTCCCAGCGTTTTCTGGGCTGGAGATCTAAGGATGAAGATCAAGGATGAGTGAATAACCTTAAGGATACGGCGCATAATACGGGCTCGATGGAAGATCTAAATAAGTAATGCCTGGATGTACGTGATTTACATCCCAATAAAACAGCGCGAGAAAAAACGAAAAGCTACTTCCCTTTTTATTAGTTTCTCTCTTAATTTTGGGACTAACGTCCATTTTGTGGCTTTGGATGACTATATATGGTTGGCAGCATCCGGTTTCGATTTGCCTGTCATTGTGGCTAGACACAGGCCGCTTGTGCCTACAGAGGGACCATGGGTGGCTTGCGTTGCACCAACCACACACCCCATATCCAGTGTAAACCCGAAGGAATAAGACCGGGAGGCATGTGGATGGGAGCCACGTTTCATCAACGGAGCCGGCCCACACTCCTTCACAGGCAAACACAAGCACGCTGTATCTGGGGAATCAATCGCACAAAAGGCGGTGGATAGACCGTAGTCCGCTCCACACTGAGTGCATGGAACCACTCTTCGAGCCTAGCACAGCCACAAGGACCGTGCACCCCGTCCCCTCCAGCAATGACCAACTGTCTCCTGGACCCAGTATGGACAAGGTAGGGCGTAATAGACAGGTAGGCACCTTGACAACATGCACATCAAGCGCAGCCACATCGGGGATATCAAGCAACAGCCAATCACCTGAAACGACATGAAATAAAACAAATCCAATAATGCATACAGATACGGTGGCATAACTCTTCGCTAAATCAATATATGAAGTAAGCTGGTTAGTAACGAATCTGCGAAATGACCACAAGTTATTTAAAAATGCTACAAACGCAACAAAGTTACCGAAGATAAGCGCCATTAGTGTAAGCAACATGGCCAGCTAATAGAAGATTATTCAGATAGACAGAACAAACCAAATGAAGTGGAATGAAAGTAACCCAGCTTAAAAAGACTTAGTTTAAGTGTAAGTTGGTTTAGCCCAATTGCGGTGAAGAAGCATCAAGAATGCAACCCCAGTCTCAGCATGGGACATATATATATATATATATATATATATATATATATATATATATATATATATATATATATATATATATATATATATATATATAATCTGTGGTACAGATATTGTGCCATCGGAATCATGGCTGAATAGGAAAAGTCGGAAGCCGCACGCGACAATGATTGCAAGCAGGAGCGCACAGAACGACATCCGAGACGACGATCGTGGAGATACACAGCATAGCGTTGCAAGCGGTTAGGTCAATGGATAACCGCCTTCACAACAAATAACTTTTCACAGCTCTCGGGGTCCCTATAGTCTTGTTAGATAAGGGGTGCAACATCCTCTGTGGCAGTTAGGAATAAGGCGGGAGCTGATCCGAACTATCAGCATCGGGTCCAATTAGACGAACAAAGTGACACTGCATGGTAGAGGATATGCGTAGAAGGAAATGATGTCCAATGTTTAAGTGGTGGATAGTACGACCCGAACGCCATGAGTAGAAAAAAGGAAGGTACGGTCCTTGACCGGTGAAAGGTAGTTGACTGATGGTTTGATGAGGCACGCGGTGTATGGGGTTGTGTTGGTGTTCTGCTACCAACGGGAGAACAATATCGGTCGAGGCGGCTGCGTCAGGTGCTGTGGTAACAGAAGCTGCTCCACTTAAATGACCATGAAAGTTGGCGCCTGAGAAAGTAGACGAAAAGGTGCAAAGCGGGTTACTCATCGGTTCTGAGTTGCGACGAAGATGAGGTAAATTAGCAAGAATAGGTGAAGGGAAGATCGGTGTGTGTGATGGCGTTCTTAAAGGTGGACTGTGGTTCAGTAGCGCACTTGATGGATCTCTATGTGAGACTGCCCAAGCAACGATTCCGTGTTGTAACCAGTTCCTCGGTACTGTGACTTAACGCGCCGAGGAATCATAAAGCAAATGTAATGAATAAGTAGGCTAACGGTTCTGCGCGGATAAACTGCATTACTGGCCGAGACTAGCACAAGGCATAACTTTCGAACCAGCTCAAACAGACCAAACAAACAGCACTAAATATGAATACAAGTGCGTGACAAGCGCAGAGACCGTTTAAAAAACGAACAATACCAAGGCACAAAACAAAAGTTGAAAAAATATACAGTAGGCATGAAATGAGCGAAAAGCCGATCTGAGCTCGGCGCTAGCATATATAACCATATAACCGATAGTTTAGTGCGACAGGGAGAGGGAAGACGAAAATACACGCAATCGAAGTGTTAATCAAGATCTATGCAAATGTGTTGGATAATCAGCCAAAGAGGTGATAACAACAAGTACAGACTTAAACGAACAGCAGAAAGGCGTCCCACTATCAAGAACGTATCTAGTACCGCTTACGCAGCTTCAAAAATAGGTAAATTGATGAGCCTGTAAGGATGGAAAAGCTAGAAAATAGTCGATGGTAATGCAATGGAGTTTCAAACATCAAAAGCGCAGGATGCATGCCTAAGGATGATACCCCTAGTGAAGGTGGAATGACAGAACCCACACATAACTGCTGGACAGTGGAATGATGTGGTCAGTAAGAGACATGAACCAATTTTTGGTTACAACTGGATGCCAACGCTATCAGCTTGAGATTACAAGGGTCCGTTATTTAGAGCTTCAGATAAAATTGCTAAACCAAGAGACGGTAAACCCATCTAAGTCGTCTGAGCACAAAGTACCTTAAGAATAGGAGATCGGCATAACTGCCATGGGAAGCGTTCAATCTGAT